AATCATAATCTTTTTAAAATTTATGCAGCGCGTTGAAAAATTGCATATGCAAACGTCGGAATAGTTGAGCGCTTTTAAAATAAGTTACAGAGCTAAACATATATAAAAGTTTAGTTAGATTAAAATTTGCATATAAAGTAACATAAATGCCTAATGAAATCAAGCAATAACGTTCTGCAGCATTACCCCTTTGAGTTTCAAGAGATGCAAGTATTTATTCATTTCTGTTACTGTGACTCGATAAGAAAGATAAGTGCTGTTGAGAGCATCACGAAAAAGGTTTTTCGCATTATCATTTGTTGCATTATTATTTAGCAACATTAGCTAGAAGGTAGAAAACAATTGCAATATTGTTCTGTGCGTAGTTTGCGATTAGCGCGTGAAGAAATATGTTTCTATTGCCATCTCTACTTATTTCTCATGTCAGCACACTTATATTTCTCGTGATAAACGTGTAGCGCGTGACATCCAGTGGATGGAATTCACTTTAACTCGGACATTGTCGATAACATCGTTTGCGACACAAAATTTTGTTAATTCAATGAAGAAACATAACATTATTATCTTGCGTATAAAACACAAAATATTTTTCAAAACAACAAGATTATTCAACATATAAAAGAAATGTAACGTCTATATATAGGTGGTGTTTACAACACTTGAAAGTCGTTCATCATACAATAATTGCGCAGAAAAGATAAGGAACTCTGCAAATTGGGTCAGTTACGATAAATACGTTCTTGTAAAAAAGAAAAAATAAAGTGTAAGACACGTGTATGTATGTGTCTTTCTCTCTCTTTTTTTCTCTCTCTCTCTCTCTCTGTCTTTCTCTCCCTCAACAGCCATCAGGACTTTAGCGTTTCGACCTCCAGCGACCATTCCTTAATCTCAGCACTGCAAAAGTGCGACAAGGTGATCGCAGGATAGCCGGTAGTTTCAGACCGGTTCGACCTGACACTCCGTTTTCGACTTTTGCCTTCGTTTGAGCTTGCTCTGTATCTCCTGCAACGTCTTGCCCTTCGTCTCCGGCACTACGAAGTACGCGAAGAACACGGATACGGCGGTGAAGCACGAGAACGTCCAGAAGGTCGCGGCCTGGCCCATCCTGTCCTCCATGGTCGGGAACAGCTTGGTGACGGCGAACACCAAGCACCAGTGCACCACGATAGACAGGCTGCTGGCAACACCCTTGGTTTCCGGCGGAAATATCTCGCTTATTACCGTGAACGGCAGGGATCCGTAACCAATTGAGAAGACAACGTTGAAGAGAGCGAGGCTGGTCAGCGGCAGCCAGCCGAAGCTGCTCACGTCACTTCCTTCATCCTTGAGCTTGAAACAGTAACCCAGGACGCTCAGACAAAGGGTCATTATTGTGCCGGATATTACCAGGAGCGGCTTTCGGCCGAATCTGAAAAAAATAGAGACAGGATCGATTGTACTGTTTATATGGCTACTACATTAATTCCAAGATATTTGAAGAAATTCAATCAATTGTTTTCGTTTGTTCTTTAAAAATCGAAGTTTATGACATCGAATAAATTGAACAGAATTAACTCGCCACTCTACATAATATAATAAGAAGAAAAGGAGAAACTTAGGATAATCGTCGAACATTCCATTATAACTCTAACGGCTACATTAACTTCAAGAAATCTGAAGAAGTTCTATTCATGAGAATTCTACATCAATTCGCGAGAGATATATCTGAGATTTATCACGCGCTAACCTGTCAATTACGATAGCGACGAATATCGTCATTACGACTTCGGTGAATCCGATGACGATGGTAGCCAGGAAGGGATCGATTGTACTGTTCGCCGCCTGAAAGATGCTGACCGTGTAGAATAGAATCGCGTCTACGCCGGACAATTGTTGAAAGAACATGAGTCCTATGCAGGTGACAGCGGCTCTACGTCCAGCTTTAGTCCCGGCGAGGTCTTTGAGGCCGCCCGATGCGTTCGCCATTCTGTCAACGTCATCCTGGAGAACGGCTATCTCCCCCGGGACGTCATAATGCGATCCCCGTAAAATCGTCAGCACCTTGGCGGCCTGGATCTTACGACCCTTCTGTACCAGCCATAACGGCGACTCCGGCATAAAGGGCACGCTCAGGACGAAGGGCACCAGCATGGCGCAGCAGGCGATGTTGAAGGCCACGTAGGAGCAGTATGCGCCCGCCACATATGAGAACATGATCCCCGAGGAGAAGAGCAGAGGGAAGAAGGCGCCCAGGGCGCCGCGAATCGATGCCTGGGCGATTTCGCCGACGTAGACCGGTACGAGGACGCAAGCCGCTCCGGTGCCGATTCCGCCAATGAACCGAGCGACATATATACTGACGATGTTCTCGGCCGTGAGCAAGGTGAGCCAGCACGTGGTGAATGGCACAGCCGTCAAGAGGATGGCCCATTTCCGACCGATTCGATCGGCGATCTTGCCGGCCGGCACCGCGCCCACAATGGCACCCAGCACCAGCAGGGATGTTATCCACGAGATCTGATTTACGGACAGTTCCGGAAGGAAGGATTCCGCCGATGTGAGATACGGCAGGATCGGTGACGTCCAACCGAGCGTTATGCCGGCCTGCATACCGCCCAGCGCAGCTGGAAACGAACAGTAAACACTCATCAGAAGAAAGATTTTTTTAATTTAAAAGAATTGTTGCTCGAAGTATGCGAGATTTTGTCGCATTAAAAGGGAGATGATGTCGAGAATGATTGAAAATTTATTCAATATCTCTAAACGATGCTCTAAAAAACATTATTTTGCTTATTTATTTTATTAAATTGACAGATCTATGATCTATGCTTTATTCGTTAAAACGAAATATCGAATACATGCTGAATAATTTTGTCAACTGAAAAAAATATAATTTGTACGTTATCTAGTAATAGTATGTCTGTGTAGACAAAAGAATTAAGTTTTATCGCAAGGCTTTCGTCATTCATTATCTACAATGCAACAAAGTCTACAAAAATAAGATGACCACTTGAGGATCACGCACACACACACGCACGCACACATACACAAAGTTTCTCGTGATAAATGTTGTAGACATAGATAAGTCGCTGATTTAGTCATAGGTATAGGTATAGTCATGTTGAAGAAGTCGATCACTTTAGATGATATCGATATCGTACCCCACGAGACAACCTGTCGGCTATAATACGTTACACATGTGTATTATACAACATGAGAGACATAGTACATTGATCTTGGTTAAACGCGATCAAGTTTCTTCTGATATTTATACATGAGAAGAAGCTAAAATTTATATTCTTTACATAATTTCTTACTTTATAACATGCATAAAAAATATATCAGTGAAATTTCGTTATACTTTATTTTATTAAGTGATTTTAATTTAATTTAATTTTTATCACGTTTTTCTTGATTACATCGAATACAGTTATACGTATAATCTGGTTCCGAAAAAATTTGAGAGACGCGATCTAGATGTGTATGTTCCGAAAATTTTGCAGTTAAATATTAAAAAAATTTTTCCGCTTAGCGGTAGCATAAAATATTTATTGCATGAGACAAAGATTAATAAGTCGAAATACGCGACGCTGTGATACTTCTATGAATCTCTGATAATGAGATTATGATATTATTGTAACAACATTTATTATATATTATACGAGTTTTTAAATATTTCTTTAACACGACAGAATGCGTAACTTATAAAAATAACAATTAATTACAGAAGATGCCATTTTTGGTTGGGCTGGATTTTGGTAACTTATAATAATAATTAATAATATTTCTTTATGAATTTTGTAACTTGGTTTTTTTAACTCACAATCAGTAAACTGCGCGCCCATTATTTGTCAGTTCGCAATAAATTCTTTACAGTGATTTAAAAAAAAGAATGCTTATTAACATCAAAAGTTAAATCAATTAAATCGATTTAAGAATGTGGATTTACTATTCCAACAAAAAATTGTGTTTTAAGACAAATAATCGGCGCGCAGTTATTATTTACTTGTGAGTGGAAAAAATATACAAAATTCCCACAGAAATATTATTATTAAGCTACCAAAATACAGCCCAGCTGAAAATAGCATCTTCTCTTATTTGTAAGATTTATATCGATTCTGTGTGTGTTTCACTTGTTATTGTTTATAATCTTGTCAAATTTGACTCGGAACCACTTAAAATTATTGTGTGAGGAGGTTCCTGATAAGAAAACGTTATCTTATGTGTAATACAGCGTACTGATTCTTTGATCACAATATAATATCCAATTAATTATTAATATTGGATGCATTAAAATTACGCTTTATATAACAAAGAAGTAAAGCAAGCTGTGCTCAGTTTTGAAATTAAAGAATTGGACAGACATTATGATATTTAGTCCAAAGTTATAACGCGAATCATAAAGCGGAGAAAAACGTTATCTCCAATCAAATTAAGTTCCGCATATATTTCGTGATAAAAAATTTAATGGTAATATTTATACGTTGTTGACAAGATAAAGCACCAATTTCTCAGATCTTGCGCAATTTTTATTTCAGGAAGGACATCGAGTTCCAGTAATTGATTTTCGCGCACATGATTAATCTCTTTTAATAAAGCCCTAATTTGATGGCTAGAAATGAACTTTATTACGAGTATAATGGAGTATAATCCATATTACTTATAAAAAGGTAGAGTTACCTTTCCATTCTTCAGCACAGACAGCTTTATCATCATTATGCTCATAATAGAGTTCATGTCCATAATTCACGCTATTTAACTCAAGCTTTACTTGTCACAGTTCATCTCCTTTAATTTAAGACATATGAAGGAGTGGTCGGACCTATATTAGAACATTTTATAAACGTGATCTTGAATATATTAGTCGAAAGGCTCTGAATTATGTTAGCGGAGTGTTAGAAATACGTGCCAGTACATAAATACGTGCCGATATCCAAAAGTTAAGGACGTTTTATGTGCAAAAACGAATTCACCTCATTTTACTCACCGCACAAAGTGACTAGAAACTGAAAGCGCTTTTTTCCTTTGCTGAAAGAGCCGGGATTATTCGACACTTGTAACACATAGTGCTGTTTTTCTTTATCCGGTAAGGTAACAAAGAGTTTCGACGTCGCGTCATTATTGACGTGTGCCGTCATGGTGGTGCTCATTGTCATTGTGGTACGATTTGA